AGGCAGGACTAGCATCAAGTATACCAAACTCAACAATCCATCACTACAGAATATACGGACTAAGAACAATAGAAGATATACAGACCCAACAACACATATCAATCATAAATCAAATGTTAAACCATCCTCTATTCAGCAAATCTTCTTTTAAAATACGGCTACAACAATTACAAAACTCTGCAGCAACAAACAAATCCATCCTATCACTATATCCAAAAATATTTCCAAATACCGAAGTTAATACAACAACTGCAATAATGCTAAATACCTGTTAGCTAAATAACATTGCATTTAACAATGCAGCTAATCCATGGCCAAAACCACTATCTACCACTAAAACACATACAACCACAATGGTATAATAGCCTATTACAGCCCATATCACTAGAAGAGCTCTCAGCAACGATAAAAGAAGCTCCTCTAAGCAAGGCACCTGGACCACAACAAATAAGTAATGAAATGCTTAAACATCTTGATAACAAAAGTACATTACTGTTGCTAAAGATCCTAAATGTGTGTATCACTCTTGAATCAATACCCAAAACTTGGAAACAAAGTGCAGTATACCCTATATCCAAAAAACCCAAGTTCAACAGACAACTAAGTCAAACAAGACCAATAACACTAATTGAACATGTCAGGAAAATTTTTACGAAAATTTTAACATGAAGGATTAGCAACATATGCACTCAGTACCCAATACTAAATGAGAATAACTACGTTGCACTACCCAATACCTCAACATCAATACCAATTCAAACACTTACTCATATATTCGAAGATGCACATACAAATAACAGGAACTACCAAACTGATTACTGAAATATTCACAAACAGAACAAACTACGTAATTACAAATGTTGGAAATACAAACAACTACACTGTTCACGATGGCATAGATCAGGGAGAGACAATCGTACCACTACTATGAAGAATATATTATGATCCTTTAATAACAAAAATTGCTGGAAAGCATACTGGATATACACTTACAACTCACACCAACCCCCAAGAACTACACCAATCGATAATTCAAAAAAGCTTTTCGGTACTCGCATACATGGACGACACCTTATGGATTGCACCAACAAAAGAACAACTACAAGACATTGTTAATACTGCAACAACTTTCTTTCAACTAACAAATATACAAGTCAATCCAGACAAATCAATACTTGCAGCAATAACAAAAACTTCACAACCAGAAATTCAGTTCAACAACACAGTTATCAAAGCAATAGACATAAAAGCAAGTTTCAGATTTCTTGGCTGTTGGTACATGCCAAACAAAAAACATACATCAAATCAAAAAATTATAAAAGAAGAAGTTACAAACGCACTAAAAAGATTGCAGAGAACTCGGATCACTGATAAGCAAGCAATATATATAGTAAACACTGTGATTCTTACAAGAATAGCATATCGGATACAGAATACAACTCTATCATCAACAGTATGCAAGCAAATAACAAATAAGTATACAAATATAGTAAAGCATAAGGCAGGACTAGCATCAAGTATACCAAACTCAACAATCCATCACTACAGAATATACGGACTAAGAACAATAGAAGAT